TACAATTTTATATAATGTAATTGGTTCTACTGCTTAACTATTTATATCAAAAAGTATTATTATTATTATTATTTTTTATATATATTGTGTTGTGTATTTTTCATATTATTACAACTTATTGCTCTAATCTATTATAAAAGTGTCATTGAGACTTGTAAACCGTGTTTATACATAATGTTCTTATAACTATAAAATCAGATACCTAATTTACCAATTCAATAATTAAATATTTTTTTGTATACTACATAAACGCGTTGTACATAATATTAAATAATTAACTAGTACAATTATTTTACTATTGTAAAAAACTTGAAATCCAATCTACGGATTTATAATGAAAACTCCGAAATCCGCATTTATAATGAAAACTTCGAAATCCGGATTTATAACGAGAACTTCAAAAATCGGATTTATAACGAAAACTTCGAAATCTGGATTTCGAAGTTCGAAAACTACAACTCCGGATTTCGAATTTCGAAGTTTAAAACTCCGATTTTTAACTTCAGATGCAAAATCCGGATTTTCCCATCACTAATTTTATTATAAAATTTCTAAATTTCATAAAATTTTTATATATCATAAAAATTCTATATTTTATTATAAAATTTCTAAATATCATACAATTTTTCTATTTTATAAAAATTCTATTTTTCATAAAATTTTTATATTTTATAAAAATTCTATAGTTTTCATAAAATTTATAAATTTCATAATAATTATTTTTTCATAAAAATTCTATATTTTATTATAATATTTCTAAATACAAAATTTTTATATATATATATATATATATATATATATATATATATAAATGAATTTTATAATTAATTATAGAATATACATATATACAATTATACATACATAGAAGAAAATATCATTGAGTAGGATTTAACTATTTGTCTAGATATGTTCTGTTAACCTTTATTTTTGTTTAAAAAATTTAAGTATTTACTGTCAATTACAAACAATTGCTTAATGCCATATGGCATATTTTGACACTGTGAAAGAGAACGTTTGTTTCGGCGGCGCGGGGATCTGTGATTAATTAATGCTAATCTAATCAAGCGATATTCGTGTGCATGTTCACTTCATGCATTTAGAACTATTCTTCCTAAATTTGTAGAAAATTGTTACTTTCAGATTTTTACCTTTAGTTAAACTATAAGACATACACCTTTGTGTCAAATTTCACGTATCTACCAAAATGGGTAATTTTTGATGATGAGTCGGTCAGCAACACAAATTGAAACTTTGAAATTCTCCCCTTTTGAAAATGCTTTCTATTGATGGCTCAAATTTTTACAGTGTCCTAAGCTACTCGAGCTGAATCTATGTTTCAAATTTCAAAAGCTTACCTTAACAGAAAACAGAGATATGGCGGTTAGAAAAACTGAGTGAATTGGTTCGTGTAAAGATACATTGGAATTGCTGGAACTCGGGCTTAAGTAAGAAAATTTGGCATGATATAACACAATTAAATGACGATAACGGTGTAGTAAGCATTTTTATAGGAAAACAGATAGTTATTTAAGGTCAATAAAAAAAAGTGTCAGAAGAATAACCAAGCTAAGTTTGCGGCGTGACATAGAGAAGTATGATAAATAAAAATTGTACAGGAGGAAGATTGTTGGAGAACTTAAGTAATGGTAAGAGAATGGTAGTTAGACACAAATTTCTTAGTCGTTAACGAGCAATTAATTATTTATTAGGTTTCCCTTATAAAACGTAGGATTTATCCTACCTTTCAATGTTATTTTCCTGGTTGCGCGTTTTCTTAAAAAAAAAAAAAAAAACACCAACAAATATATATGAATTAGAAAATTTGTTAACATACAACTGTATTAACGCTGTCAAAAGTGAATGTTTAAAACAGGTTTAGCCCTTGACTTTTTTAACTTTTTTCACTAACATGCTTTTTGGTTTTTCTCGGAGGGGTTTAGTACTGAACATTCTGTAATCGAACGGCAGTTGTTCATCCGGATACAGCTGATTGCAAAAGTATATCCTTCGCACCCTACAGTTGGCGTGCACCTGAATCCGGACGGTCTCCACGTACGTGGTGTTGAACGTGCGCTCAGTGAAGTTGGCCAAGTTGAACTGTATTTGGTTCCAATCGTTGTTCAGACACAGAGGCATAGTGCACATGTACATGCTCACTCTGGTGGCAGACTGGTAATTGCTGACTCGGAAACGGCGGCGGACGTTAACGTTATCCAAAACCTAAGCGATTTGAAAGCCAGTAGTAAACATAGTTTTACATGAATTTAATATTAAAATTCAAAATTCAGGATAAGTGTAGCTAGAGAATAGAGGAATCGAATAAGTGGTAAATAAAATAAAGCATCGTTAAGGTTTACCTACCTAACAGACCTCTTTTACTCATCTGTGTACAATTGATATTTACAACAAACAAGTCGGTTGAAAATTTTAAATACACGAGGGCAGTATAGAAAATAGTTATAATTTTAATTTGACGCTATTGCCGTATAGGCACAGCAAACAAATATTCCTTATAAACTTGAGCCGACCATTTTTCTCGAAATTGAAAATTCGTAAAGTTTTTACTTATTTAAAGGGCGAAGAAATAGATTTTTTCGACTTATACCACCTCCGGATACAAAATATATAAAAGTTGTAATTTTTTTGTGATACAACTCAGAGATTTTAGACCTGTATAAAAAAAAGTTACAGTAGGTACAAACTAAACAAAAAGCTCAGATAATTGTAAATCCGATAGCGTCTAAGTTGAAGTAAAAACATCAAGTTGATTATTATAACGATCTCTATACCGCCGTTAAATAGAGGGAAACTCCAAGTGACTTCTTTGAGGCACGCCGAATCACATAGGTATGATATAAAGCGAGGTTGTTAGTAAAAAGTATATAGAAAGTATAAATGTTTTTTTATATGGCTTTACTTTGTGTTTTAGTCTTACCGTTATTTCAAACGTAAAGTATCTGTTGAGGTTTTTCATGAGCAACACTATAAATGGTAAACGAATACCTAGGGAAGCGGCAGAATCAGGTGGTGTGCTTATGGAACATGTAGTAACATTGTTAGACAATATTTGTAGAACGTTTGATTTGAGATGTTCGTCTTGGACGGTTCTGATATCGCCTTCTTTCGACTGACAAGAAATTATGATTAGATAAATAAAAGAAACCATTAAACATAATTTTAAAAAAAACCGGCTAGTAATTATAAACCAACTTCTATTTTCCAAATTGCCAAAGGCTTACTGCCAACACTATAAAACACTGTCATTAATTTTCCCTGGAACCGGTCGCTAAACATTGTATAGCGGACAATGACAATGACACTGAATTAACTACAATGGAAAAGTAAATAAAATGACAACACAAAAACAAAATTAAAAACTATTTAGAAACCGAAATGTACTTGTGTTGTTTTTTGTTATTTGGGAGTCATAGTAAAACCAACGCTGAACAGAAACTAACTTTAAAAAATATTTTGTTGATAACAGGTGGCCAGTAATACGCTTATGTAGATAAGCTGTGTTTAAAATTTAAAAACTTCCTTATTATTTTGTTAATTTTAAACTTCGTTACAGAGGTACTAAATTAATAAATATTAAAAGGTAATAAAAATTCACTTTTCTCGCTTTTTTATCTGAAAATACTTTAATCAATTCTGAGAAGTCAGAATTTTAAGCAATAAGATTTTCAATACTTGTAGCTAAGGATGTTAGGGTGTCTTGTGCTATGATTGACCTTAGGTAGGTTTTTAATAATTTGAATTTAGAGAAGCTTCTTTCTCCACTTGCAACAGACACTGGTATTGTCAATAAAATTCTAAATGAAATCCCTATATAGGGGAATAAATCCTCAAATAGATCAAACAGTCAAGGCTAAAAAACAAACTGATGTAAGTTTGTTGAATCAGTCTTTGATTAACAAATTATTAGCATAATTAATATAATAAAATATTAAGATCATAATTTCTACAACGTAATGAGACAAAATATAATATAATTAAAGTTTAAGTACAATGTTTCGTTAAACTTAAAAAATTATAATATTTAACCACTAAAAAAAATAACAGCACTTTGGTTTTGTCCGTCATTGAACAATGAAATTAAGAACATAATATAAAAGATAATACATTTTAGAATACTCTATCGAAATAAAAAGATAAATAAAAACTAGTCATCACAGGCCAATGTTTGTACTTCTCATTAATATACGGCATACGTTTTTTAATGTCCTGCAGTTTTTATTAGAAACTTTCTCGTTTGGATATAATATTTCATTTGGTAGTTCATCTTTAAAATTTCGTAACGAATACAACCAATAGATTAGTAAGGTAAAAATATTACCGATAGTATAAAGAGAAACTATAAAATAATTTAAACAGTACATTTATCAATAATATATTGTTCACCCTAAATGTAAATAGAACTCACAATTAACAAAAAAAAAAAATACAGTCGAAATCTTTATGTAACTTTTTATCAATATTATCGTCCCTAGGAGCACCAACGGCACTTCTCATTTTAAAACTTTAAAAGTCTATAACGAATGCATGAAAATCATCGAAATTGTTTAAAAATTCAATACCCAACTCGTTAACTGTAGACTATTAATTAATTTTTATAAATAAGACCATGAATCAATATTAATGTAACTTGGACACTTACTGTTACACAGCTATACGGTGAGAATGTTTGACAAGGCTCGGTTTCCGTCAATCGTATGTAATCTAATTCTTTTAATATATTTAGGTATAAGCAAATCAGTTTATATTTATATTTTAAACAAATCAGTCAATTTGAGCAAGTTGACATAAAAACCATATTGTATGACTCTGAGATTGTTAGATAGTGATAACAGTGACAGCCGCGACGGCCGGCTGGAGGTAGAATGCAGTGAAGATAACGGCTATTATATTATCCTCCAATATCCAAACCGACGCTGGCGGTTTAAGCAAGATAATATTATCAATGGATGTTATCACGATTTTTTAATATATATAATAATATTATTATTGTGTTAACAGCTAATAAATTGGTTCTCACTCGTTATAGTCGTTACGTGGCTTTTCGGTTTGCTCCACTATATTTGAGGGAGTATGTATGAAAACTAAAAAATAAATCATCACAGGTGAGTAAAAACGGTATTGGTTAATACAATATGAAATATATGTCGATGATAAAACGGCTTGTGATTTTTCGGACGACTGCAGCCCTGTGCCTGCCACACCGGTCACTTTTCGATCACCGATTACAGGTATGTCCACAGCAGAGACGTCATGTCTTGGATCCGTGACAACTCGATGACATGGCCGCAACGCTTTTGGGGACACGTCTTGACGTACGGGCCGATGCCGAAGCACGTAGCGTTCATAATGGACGGCAACAGACGTTATGCAAGAAAGAAAAACGTGGACAACAGCGAGGGACATTCGAAAGGGTGAGATTGTGCGAACGATAGTTAAAACCTAGCTACGGACATTTAGATGTCGTTTTCACACCTACACACACCGGTAAAATCGGTGCCGGTGCTGGGTGCTGGCTCCAGACAACTGTCGGCGTTCAACTCGACAATTCGGACCTATAATGTTCTCTTTAACAAACTTGTCCAGTCAGATTCAGTGTTGTAGAGTCTATTTTTTTTTTTTGTTTATGATTCTGAGTACATTGTTGCTGCAATAAAGTTTTCAATTTTATAAACAAACTACAACATTTCTTCAGAATGTTTTAAAAAGGATAGTAATTTTGGTAGTTCACTTAGGAGTTGGAAGGTATCATCTTTTTCTTTCTCCACACAGGCCTTACTGTGCATAACACAAAATCACTACTTATACGAAACGGTTGTAGGTACCTACAAACTGAACAACACTAAACCTCCTAACACTAATTGCGCTTGTTTATCAGTATTTCTTTTTTGTTATCATACAATTAGTGTTTAATAATTACTTTAATAAATAGTGTCCTCTGCTGAACAAAAGAACGTCTTATCTGATAAAATAGAGAAAAATTAAGCCTTGACGACGATGATTTGTCTAATCAAAAAATTAATGTTTATTTACTTAAAAAAATAAATTGGCTTTTTTTTCTCTTGGCATCAGAGTTGAAGTCTATGGATAGAATGATTGGTATTGAATCATAATTTGGTTTTTTGATGACTGCAACTATTTCAGTAATGTTACAGGGTGTTTAAGTGTATGCTAACAAATTTAGTTGAAAGAAATCTTCAATATCGCTGACATTTGTTGCACATGAATTTCATAAGAAAGTGCAGAGTTATAAACGACATTTAATCTTCTTTTCCGTACATAGCGATTTTGCCAGTATGAACTTTGTCCCATTTAAACTGAGCGATACATCTATATCCTTTCAGGCAGATTGTTTGGTCATTGTTCTCTTAAAGCCATAAGTTTGATTTTTAGCAGCAAGTAATCTATGATTAAATCAATTTTGTGCGTTTTTAACCTCTGTACAATGAGTGCTAGCAAAGACAAATGTTTACTGGCTCGCTGTAAAAACTCCCTGCTTTCGTCGTTAATGTTACTAGCTTATGATTTTCTAATCTACTGAATTCATTCCTCAATTCAGACAGGGTTAATTGATTTCCTCGTTATTCATATTTGATAGTTGTCGGTAGTTCTATAGTCAAAAAACCCTAACCTTTTTAATCTTAATCTAACCTAAATTCAACCTAACCCTAACCTTATGTTACCTATATAATAGAAATCTAACGTAAATAAACCTAACACTAAGTTTCTTTTTTTCTAGGTTCGATAAACTATCTGAAACTTTACAATGGTGTTTGAATTTGGGCATCAAAGAAGTTACTGTGTACGCATTCAGTTTAGAAAACTTCAAGAGAACGCAAGAGGAAATCGAAGCACTATTTGATCTTACCAGAGAAAAGTTCAAGAAACTCTTACAAGAAAAGTAAGCGAAACATTGTATCTATCGGTTTAACGGTAAACAGTATTATATAAAAGTGAAAAATAATTTTAGTACAACTGCAACGTTCAAATAGTCAATATCGATAATTCTGCAGAGACGACTTTTTCTAAGTAAAACGTTACTTGTCATCAACAAGTAAATAATACGTTAGAAATAATCTAACTTATACCTTATGTATTTTACTTTTTTTTTGCCGAGTCAAAACGTGTATCGTCTGAACAACATTGTTTGTGTACAATTTTATACTGATCAAATGCGTTTTCTTGTTTTAGAGATAAACTAAATGAACACGGAGTGTGCGTAAAAATTATTGGGAATTTATCGAAATTGCCCGACGACTTGACCAAACTTATGGCTGAATCCATGTTTGTCACCAGACACAACACTCAAGCGATCCTGAACGTTGCTTTTGGTTACACAGGTTAATTTTCCATTATGTTGAGTTTTCTCTTGTTGAAATTAAACAATCGTAAACATATTATCATTCAATCACACAGGTCACGACGAATTAACCAACGCTCTGAATCATATAGCCAACGGCGTCAAGGAAAACTGTTTGGACTTCTCCGATCTAAGCGTCAACATAATCGATAAGTGTTTGTATACGTATCCTTCGCCGCCGCCAGATTTGTTGATACGCACTTCAGGAGAAACCAGACTTAGTGACTTTATGATATGGCAGGTACATCGAAATAATAAACAGGTTTGTGTTTGTCAGTGCATTATACCTGACCATTTCGTCTGTGTTTCAGTGTTCGTACAGTTATATTTATTTCACACAAGTACTTTGGCCGGACTTCACGGCGTGGGACTTTCTAGCCGCCGTGTTTATGTACCAAAGAAACGCACATTTGTTTGAAAATTACAAAACACCGACGAGCCTGAGTGCAAAAGCCGATAAATTTGTAAACGACTTACGAGAAAAACGATTAAACAGACTGTACGCAGTCCTCTGATAAAGTTTTTTTTAAAAAATATAATTATAGTTAATAACGTTTTCAATGTACTTATTACGGAAAATATGTACGTGTTAAATTATATAAAATATAGGTAATTTGTTTAGAAAATTAATTCTATTTATAAAAAAATCTAAGAACTACCTATTTTATATGTGAAAAAATCCAACTGAATTGTCGATTAAAAAAAAAAAAATTGTACATAAGGCCTCATTCTACCAACGATTTTAATTGTGGTTAGCCAGCCAATTTTAGACGGTTTATGTCTTAGCGCTAATTAAAATCGTTGGTGAAATCGGACTCACTCGTGTCGTTAAGTATAAGCAACACATTTATACAGTCGCGTAATGGTTTTCTAGTTTTTCAGGATAAGGTTTACGTTGATGCCTTTGTATTTAAAGTAATCATATAATTTTTAATTATAATAACTCCTTTAGACCTACCAGACCTCACTATATGCTCCGTACCAACTATTTTTTAAACATTTTTGTCAAAAAATGTTTTTTTTTGGCCTTAGAGTTTTTTTTTTAAATAACCAGTTACATAATAATTATATATATTGGTATATAGATTAAATCTCGTTTACTAAATGGTTATAGGTTGTTTTTTTCCCCAAATTTTTATTTACAGATTATAAATATTGCCGAGAATTCTTATTGTTAGATTAATTATTTTTTTGGTCTATCATAACCACTTGAATAAGTAGAATAATATTTTTTCTATGAAGCCTCCTTTAGTCATATCTTGAATATTATGCAATCCTTAGTGGACCTACATCGATAATATAAATTACAACTGAACGTTTCTCGATGTTAAGTTTAACTATGTTTATTTGGAAACCTGTTATCGGTAAAATTGTTATTAATATGACTGAAAATTATTAAAAATGACTAATTAAAAAGATCACAAAAGAACCTTTTTCACAAATATTCTAAGTCACTATAACTTTAAAATTGTATTATTCCATAACATGTATTTATTCGTTGTTTAAGAGGATTGCACGGGGTCTGGTTTTTTCACGTTTTAAACCAAAATGTCGACTACTTAGGATGGTCCAATTTAGATTGAGTAAAGAAGTTCTTTGGCAACTTTACTATGTTATGAAAGAAACAGATTTTTTGATTTTTTGCATTTTTGATGTAACAAATTTGGGGTTTAATATTTTAATTAAAAAACCTGAAGCTTTTACAAATTAATCTGTAAATTAATTGACATGGATGAAATTTATTAAAAACTGTTTTTTTTTCTTAAGTATTGCCTATACAAATCTCCTTAAAAACAGACCGCATGTGATCCCCTTAACACTTTTTTTATAAATTTATTTCCAACATAGGTAACGTTAAAATAATTAGTTAAACCGAACATAATTCAAACGCTATAATCTAAATAAGGATGACACCATTTTGCATTTTATTTGGGTGTATACTTGTTTTTCACCGTGCATTGTTTTTTTCGTTAAATTAATAATAGTTTGCTGAAAATGTTGAATGGTCGATAATCAGTTTTAAATCATAAGTATTACAATTATATAAAAGTTTAAAATGTAAGACGGGATAACTCTAGTTATTTTTATCTACGCGCATTGGTCAACTGCTCTCCGCATCCCATCCTAAATTTCAAACTTAAAAAATAATTATTCAAAACTAGTTATCAAATAATCGAATTTTGAAATATACTTAGTTAATTGAGGTTTCAAAAATCGATAGACACCTTGAAAATAGTAAAGAAGTTCAACATTTAAATATTGTAATACCTATACAGCATAAACAAAAATATTTTAAAAAGAAAAACTACAAAATAGTAATTATTTTAACTGTAGACTAGTGTAATAATAATTAGACCATCTATCGTTTTTATAATATGTAGTTTTGTCCTACTAAGACTACCTCGGACCGAGTAACACGGTCCGAATATTTAAAATTATCAGCAACATAACTCCTAAAATAAATGAAGTACCTACGAGAAAAATATTGATACTAGAAAATAATAATTATTAGTAAATCAAACATTTTATATAAAAGTACGTGAAATGTTTGAAGGAGTATCAGCAAAAAAAAATTAAAAAGAATTACCTTTATACTTTGCGGTGTGATATTAATAATATTATCTATCTATTAATTATATTAAAAATATAAACACAACGTAAAGAATAATAATAACCCTTTTCTTAGGGTTGCAGGTTAGCATTAAATTAAATTTAAAAAAACTATAACATACGGGAAAACGTTGAATATGGAGTCCCTCATGGAAGCGTACTGGGTCCTATATTATTTATATTGTATATCTACATAGTCAGTGATCTACATTTTGATGGTTTAGTCGTTTCTTACGTTGATGACATATTATGCTAACTTTTACCGACAAATCTTGGGAATGGGTTCATTATAAAGCAACTGTCGGTGTCAACAAAGTCTATCAATGCCTATAGTGAAATAATGTGACTCTAAACGGAGATAAAACAATGTTTATGAAGTGTAACTACTACTTAACTTTAAAAAAGGTTGTCCAAGACGGGTTATAAGTTTAAAAGTTAGGATAAGAAGGGAAGTGTAGTTGGGAAATACGCACAGGTAAAAATAATACTACATTCTACCTTTCTTTCAGCCCTAAACTTGAAACTTCAAAAATAGTTATCTGAAGCTGGTTATCGACCGGTCAAAATGTTCAGTACATTATTCTTAATTTAAAAAGTTAATGAAATTATGCGTTAAGTACCATTTAAATTTCAAAAGTGTCTATCAAAAAAACTAAGTTGAGAGGGGGGAAAAAACACAACAAATTGATGAAAAAATGAGATCACATTGCATAAAAACACTATTTCAAGAAAAAATTTATTTTCTTATTAAACCCATTCAAATATTGAGTGGTTCACGGTAAGTTGATCATTCTGTATATATATTTGGGGCATTTTGAGTCAAACCACACGGTCATTGGTGGACCGACCTCCTCGAAATATTTTTTATGAACTTCTATTGGTCTAATATAATTTTGTTGTTGTGACTTTAATTTTGTTGAAATTTAATCAGCCATATTTGACGCCTAAATTGGAGGTTTTTAAAGTTATTTTTCACGAAAAATATGTTTCAACCAGTTTTAAAATTCCAACATTTTTATCATAAAATCAGAGACTCAAATAAAATATTTCCGTATAATATCGGGAATGGGCAGAGATTTATTTATTTTTTTTTTGTAATGAAAATTTTGTTTTTTTTAAATTTCTGAAAAAAATGTATAATTTTATTCGTAAAGCACATTTTTCATTTTTTATTCCCAAAATATGCAAAATATCAATTTTTACAAAGAAGTTTTATTTTTAGTTTTTTAATAAAAAAACTGATTTTTTAAAAAAAAAGTTTCATTATTAAAAAAAAAAATAGTAGAAATTGATCGACCCATTCAGTTTATTTATTAGATGAAAATAACTGATTTGAGTCTCTGATTTTATGATAAAAATTTCAGAAATTTAAAACTGGGTGAAATCGAGTTTTCTTGAAAAATAACTTAAGAAACCTCTATTTTGGGGCCAAAATAAGTGATAAATTTTTTTAAAAAAATGTCTTATATTAGACCAATGGAAGTTTAAAAAAAAATTTGAGGTCAGGCTAATGACCACGTGTATGACTTAGAATGCCATATATGTATTTTTAATAGCTATGATTTTATTCAAACGAATTTTAGTAATCTAATATATATCTATAAGTCTATATCTTTATAATCTTTATAAAGATCTGTATATCTTTCAAATTGGTTCAGCGGTAAAAAAATTCTTTTGTTTCCAGACACAAAAAAACACATCTCTGTAAAAAAAAATACCTTCTCAGCTCGGCTTTAAAACTATAAGAACATACATTTTTAAGGTTTTTTTTTTTAAGTTGTACTTTTTTAGTTTTTACAATTACCTTTTAACGTAATTACCTTGCGTTGCCGTTAAAGTTTCAAAATTAGATATAAAAATAATAAGTTGGCAACTCTACATCTTCAGTTATAAATGTAGTACCCCAAGCCCCAAGGTAGCCATTTGTCACCACTGCTTTTTACCACATTTATGAACGACTTATCAAAGTAATGCGGTATTCCCGGTGCATTCTCTTTGCGGATGATGTGAAGTTGTTTTCAAATATTAACTCTCGTTTGGATTGCTACAAGCTTCAAGAAGATCTTAATAGCTTTTATAGTTGGTGTATAATAAATGGCCTCGGCGTTAATTCTTCAATGCTCTCAAATTTCGTTCTCCCGTAGTAAATCTTCCGACTTATTTTCTTATGAAATAGGTGGTGTTGATTTAGTTAAACTTAATCATGTAAAAGACTTGGGTATTATTTTATCTAGTGATCTATCGTTCCGTGGACATATCACTCAAGTGTGTACCAAAGCCCTTCGGTTTTTCAAAGCGCATTTGATGGGAGTTTAAAAATCCAGCCTGTCCCAAAGTCCTATATATAGCCCTAATTCGTTCGATTATTAAATTACCAAATTGATTGTCCTGAAATATTACCTTCCACGTTTTACATTTCTCCTTAACGCCAAAATTATAGTATTAATGCTCCGCTCAACTGTATGTTATTATTGTGTAATGCGCTGGAGAATATTGATTTATTTAACACAACCTTAACCAATTAAAAAAAATGTATCAAATAATTTGTCTAAAATTTTTTTTTTTAAATTACTTTATTATCGTTAGGTATTTATTATTATTATTTTTGTGATCTATTATTATTCTATATATCTATTATTCTAATTATTATGTGTACTCGGTTTCCCTTACAAGTGTAAATTCTTTAAACAAATATATTGTTAACCATAATATTATCATTGTATAGTGTTTTTCAATATTTAGTTACGTCAAATACAATTAAACTAATTGGAAAAATAAATAATTTTTGGTAATGTTTAACAAACACTGTGAATTAACATTTGTGAGTACTCCTAAAATACCTTGCCTATGATTCACATTTTGATAAAAAATCTTTAAAATGTAACGATCCAACCATACGGGCTCGTGACGTTAACTTAACTTCAGTTGATGGAGAAATTTCTTTGTACTTTTTCTAAGTCGATCTAAGCCTACACTTATCACATTTTATTAAAACAATATAATATGTTGTTCTGTCAGAATGTTAAACAATGTATAAAAAAAAAATGTTTTAACTAAAATCGCTTCTGATGGATTTATTCTCTCCGAAAAAAATACAAATTTATTTATACGGATATAATTCCGCAAACAATAACTCGGTCATGTTTATTTCCAATCGCAAAGAGAGACACATTTACGATTGAAAATGTGGGAAACATTTGGTTACATATACAATTGTATGCATTTTTTTTTTATCGATGAACCGTTATAAATGAAGAAATTGCTTTAAAGATTAAAAAGTTTTTTTGGGTTTGTTAATAACAAAATTAAAAATTGATCAAGTCCTTTTTGTACCTGTCGTTAAAGTTTATAAATTTTAAGTTTACTTTACAGTAAAAACAAAATAATTGGGCTGAACAAAAAAAAAATATTACTTTTAAAAGAAAAACGGGCGAATACACAAAATTTCATTTCGCTCCGTTTTTCCGTGCCAATATATGATAATAATAAAAATCGGTAATATTTGTGGAAATGGAAATATAATTATATTTATATTAATAATATAAATCTCAATAGTCGTTATCAGTTACTTCTGTGAATTCTCCGTAAAACGCAGTTATCGAATTCAACCTGTCGTTAATTATGTTTTGTTGTATTTCCACTTTTCCAAATCCTTTGGCTAACCATACACACTAAAAGGTAAAAAACAAACAACACAATAAGAAACAATGTAAAAAAAAATAATAATTATAATAATAATAAGAAATAACAATTAGTACGATAATTAATATACGGCGTGTCTTACTTCAAATATGTTAGTCGTCTTTGGCATATGAAAAGCAATACTGGGTGCAATCTTTTTCACAAGATCAAATATGCCATAACCACCACCAAATTGATTGTCGCACATCGATTCTAAACTAAATTTTTCGTCAACCGAATATTTTGGTCCTCCCCAAGGAGGAGACATGAAAACTACATCGGTTTTTAACATTTTACAATTTCTAGCAAGAGCGAAAAAATCGCCAATAATAAATTCAATTTTGTGTGCAACGCCATACACTTCGGCGTTGTGTTTTGCATATTTAATTTTTTCCGGATCAATATCAATAGCTATAACTGAAACAAGACAAAAAAAAATTATTAAATATAATCAATATAATATAATATAATATCAATATTATAAAAAACGATATTACTGTCGTTTAAAATATGCATAGATTAAAAAAAATAAATAATAGGGTAAGTAAGCTTTATGAGTATTTTTTTTCTTTTTTAGGGGACTTTAATTAAATATAAGCTAAATAACCTAATAAATACAAATGTATTACATCTGCAGACATCTAATTTTAATTATATTTACATTTTTAATTGAACAAATTTAAACATCAAAAAGCCATTAAACTGTGTTTTTAGTATTAGGGTGGATACAATATTAGGCTTGACCGTTTGTCTATAATAATTTGTTGCCATCGTTTTCCAATATCGTAATATCCTTGTCTAATATTTTTCACACCTATACTAAATATACTTCCAGTCTAATTTTTAGGTCTCGAGTGCTAAAACTTTTTTTGGAACAGAGAAATAAAGAAAAACTGCAAGGAAATAGGATTGTGATATTTTTCTGTTTTGTCAACGTTTAACGATTGTACTTAAACTGAAGAATATTCCATACAAATTTGACTATTTCTAAAAAAGTTACAGCACGCCGTACTAAGTTGAAGATATGTACACTTTTGTGGTGTTTTTTTTTTTTTGTTCTAATAAAGTGCTTTAAGGTACGATTTCTGATATAAAAAGTTGCACGAAGAAACCGAACAGAAAAAAAATGATGAATGTTTTATACATACTAAAATGATTTATACATACCTAAATTACACGTAAGAGCTAATTGTATTATGTTTCCGCCAGCCCCACAAAAGGGGTCCATAGCAATGTCACTTCTGCAGCGTTTCGCTATGTGATAACTCAAAACTTCTGGACAAACCGAATAGAAACTTTCTGCAGAAAATATGGAAAATAATTTTATTTAAAAATGTACAATTATTATTATCACAACGACGGTCACATTCTCATATTTTAACTACCTGCGTCCAACAAGATTCCGTTATCGAATTTAGAAAATAATATATGTCTCATAGACCAGTACTTGGAAGACAGTTTATTTTTGCTGTGACTCCAACTCGGATATCCTCTTTTCTTTTTTGTCTGCAATTAAAATACATAGTTTTCCACATATATATATATATATATATGATAGGTACACGCAGTATAAAATAGGAACCTAGAACGTTAACAGTAAGGAGGAGAAAGAGGAATAGAAAATCTGCAACTTTAATTTAATTGGCTATACTAGTCTGTTCGGCAAAATAATAATAATACATTTTTTTTTTTAAACACTAAGATAATTCCATAAAAACTAATCTGTATTTAAAAAATAGGAATAAATCGGATGATTTTATTTTGTATTTTTTTCATAGACAAAAACGTCAAATACCATAATACTGTACTATGATACTATACTAACTTCTGGGACAGATGGAAAAAAACTTCGACTCGGGCTGAAGTGTCTGATGTGTTTTTTATGGTAGAAAATCTGTGAAGGTTTTACTGTGTACATTTTGTCTTCGCTTACGACGAACCCGATGTCTTTTAGCGAGCTAATTATTCTTTTCATTCCAGTGCCATAATTTGATTTTCTAAAAAATAAAATAAAAAATGACTGGTCAATTTTTTAAAAATATTTTGTAGAACATATTATTATGAAAAAATGTTGTATTTTTTTTTTTATTAAATCATAAACTTCTCGAGACACAAGCCTGAACATTCCAAATGTTTTATATAGAAGCGAATATATATTTTTAGTACCTCACCCTAATTATAGAATATGACTATATTTAGGATGCCATACATGTGTGTGTACACCCTGTATATTTCTAGTGTAGTATTTAATAATGTTATACGTTATAATTACGTTAAAAGGTAATTGTAAAAACTAAAAAAGTACAACTTAAAAATGTATGTTCTTATAGTTTTAAAGCCGAGCTGAGAAGGTATTTTTTTTTACAGAGATATGTTTTTTTATGTCTGGACCCAAGATATTTTTTACCGCTGAACCAATTAGAAAGATACTTATAGATATATTTTAGATTACTAAAATTCGTTTGACTAAAATCATAGCTATCATATATACATATAAGGCATTCTGAGTCATACACGTGGTCAATAGCCTGACCTCAAATTTTTTTTTAACTTCCATTCGTCTAATATAAGACATTTTTTTTTTTTTTTAATTTTTATCACTTATTTTGGCCCTAAATTAGAGGTTTCTTAAGTTTAAAACTCGATTTTGACCAGTTTTAAATTTTCGAAATTTTTATCAAAAAATCAGAGACTCAAATCAGTTATTTTCATCTAATAAATAAACTGAATGGGCCGAGATCAATTTTCTATTTTTTTTTTTTTTAATAAACTTTTTTTTTAAATCTGAATTTTTTTTTTTAAAATTCAGTTTTTTTATTAGAAAAATAAAAATAAAACTTCTTAGTAAAATTTGATATTTTGCTTTTATTTTGGTAATAAAAAATGAAAAATGTGCTTTACAAATAAAATTATACTTTTTCAGATTTAAAAAAAAACAAAATTTTCATTACAAAAAAAATAAATAATTTTCTGCCCATTCCCGATATTATACAAAAATATTTCTTTTGAGTCTCTGATTTTATGATAAAAATTTTGGAATTTAAAAACTGGTCGAAACATATTTTTCGTGAAAAATAACTTTAAAAACCTCCAATTTAGGGGTCAAATATGGCTGATTAAATTTCAACAAAATTAAAGTCTTATATTAGACTAAAAGAAGTTCATAAAAAAAATTCGAGGAGGTCGGTCTAATGACCGTGTGGTTTGTCTCAGAATGCCCCAAATATATATACAGAATGATCAACTAACAGTGAACCACTCAATATTTGAATGGGTTTAATAAGAAATTAAATTTTTTCTTTAAATAGTGTTTTTATGCAATGTGATCTCAGTTTTTCATAATTTTTTTTGTGTTTCCCCCCTCACAACTTAGTTTTTTTGATAGACACTTTTGAAATTTAAATGGCACCTAACGCATACATTTCATTAACTTTTTAAACTGAGAATAACTTACTAAAAATGTTGACTGGTCGATAACCAATTTTGGATAACAATTTTTGAAGTATAAGTCCAGGACAGAAGGAAAGGTGGAGTGTAGTATTTTTTTTATCTGCGCGCATTTCCCAACCGCACTTTCCCTCCCATCCTAAAATTTAAACTTTTATATCTTTAAAAATAGTTGTCTAAAACTGGTTATCGACCTGGCATAATGTTTAATACATTATTCTTAATAAAAAAAAAACTAATGAAATTATGGTTACCATTTAAGTTTCAAAAGTTGCTATTGAAAAAACTAAGATGGAAGGGTTAAAAATAAAAACATTTATGAGAAATTAAGATCACATTGTATAAAAAAATTACGGAAAAAAAAAATATAATGTAATTATTAATTAAACCCAGTTAGATATTGAATGGTTCACGTTAAGTTGATGACCCTGTACATATTATTTTTGAGTTACTTTAAATTTGTTTTTGATTAATTACTTATTTGAAATTTTATTCAATAAAATAAAAACTATTAATAGCTTCCAAATCGCTCATGCCTATTTAAAATTTATGCGGTAATTAAAATTAATAGAATTTGTTTTTACTGAAGGATAAAAATAACTCATACTAATATTCCCCTTAAATAATTTTATTCTGTATTATTTTATGAATTCAAAATCTCAAAACAAATCTAGAAATTTTAGCAACTTGGAAGATAAAACGAATGTTTGAGCAGTTGAAGAACTGTCAAAGATAAGTCTTTTAGTTCTGAAGGACACACTGTACATTTTTAATTTCTACCATTCTTCCATTATATATAAATGTCATCCCTGACATCTTATAGATATTAAAAATAAAGTTATGTCTCTCCCCTCTATAGTACTTGTCCCAAAAAAAAAAATTTGTTGTATGGTGTAACGAAATAGGTGTAAATTGTACAAGAGGAAGTGGTTTTTATTATTAAATCCAACCCTAAAAGAACTTACTAACTACTAGTCTTAATTTGGCTATTTAGAAGTTGTACACAAACTCTTTACAAAGCCAATATTTAGAAAAGTACATCCTTACAAACATACTAAAGAAAATAAATAAATTTTTAATACTTACATGTTTGTTTAAATAAATAGCTATTTATAATCTAAATTGGTTCAAACACAATAGAACTATTATATTTTTAGAGAAAAAATTTGTTTTTATATTTTCATACACAATAATATGTTGGCCAGGTTAACGTACCAAACGTACCAAATCTATAATACTTACAATTCCAAGTTATCATTTTCGATATAAGTACTTAATTTGCGTAAATCTGGATACAGTTCTAGTTCATTTTCACTTTCGTTCTCATCTTTGATACTATGACTATCGTCAATAAATAAGTCATTAGGAATTCCAGGATGCCTAAAATAATGTTTAAAAAAAAAAAAGGATAAAAAATTATTAGGTACTTAGATACATTGAAAATGAGTAATTTGAAAAAGGTAATATTAAAAATAAATTACTAAATCTACTACGTTAAATAAAATATAATAATATTCAAAATAACTTTCTGAAAAGATCCAAGTTGGTTTTTTAAAAACATAGTGCATAAATATAATGTTCTATTGTAAAAAAAAAACATGCACTTGCGATTGGCCAAAGTTGCAATTGATTTAGAATTAGAGCCCTCGAAATGATTTTTCAAAATTCCTTTTATTAAGTAAATAATTAATTCTATTAAATTATGTATTTGAGTCAAGAAAGTATAGTTTTACTATTTTTAGATTATAATATTTTTCTTTTTATTCATATTATTCTTGGGGACTTGGGGACTTACAAAAACTTTTTACCAAATTAAAACTGATAACATTTACTGTGTATACACAAAGAGCATCGCTTATAGAATACCAATTTAGATGTTAATATGAAGGTTTTTGTTTCTTCTAAAATTATCAAAAAATTACATGGTAAATATTGTCATTTTAAGTCGGTGATAAGAGTATAAAAATTCCGTAAACACGTTTGCGTTATGCTTTCGGAGAGAAACAAAACATTTACTTTACAAATTGAAGGTGTCGGTGGATAAAGGTGTTAACTGACATTTGTGAAATTGTTCAATAACGCTGCTATTTAACTGAATATTATAAAGCTACGGAACTTTTTTGATATTCAATATATTATGAAAATATTACCAAGTAGCCATGAATAAAAAACGTTTTCCGGCTGATACAATGTTTTTTTGTTACACTATAACGCTTTTGTTAATTTAATAAAATTACCCCTTCATTATTTCATGTCAAAATAAAGCCTGCCGGGTCATGTGTTGCGATATCACAATATTGTCCACCACTTCTCCGGACGGATTTAACTCCGTCTCCGTTTATATCCGTCTCCCGGGGCGGCTCGTTTCGCTCTAACACTTTTGACCCGTCCAAAACTATTCACAGTCACTGTCTCCTAGCACGCCAGGCTATATCACCTCTATGATATATATGATGTCCTACCTACCCGGTGTAATGGTCAGTTCGCCTGTGACTACACACGGTCGGCCGTAGGGGCCACCACAATATAATAATAATAATAACAATATTAAATAACATAATATTATGTCGGTACGAGACGTCGACCGCCGGGGCCACGTCCGCGCACATCGGCCGGAACGCCTACCTGGGTTTGGCCAGGACGCGGCTGCACACCATCGTGATTTCCTCGGTACAGCTGCAGAAGTTCCTCTCGTACAGTACTTCGGCCAATTTCTCGGTGTGCACCGAAAAGAACGACAAGTCCAGGTAAGTCATGATGGTATTTTACTATATACTACAATAGTTCCGTTAATTCGGTTGGTGTTGTTTTATTTTTTTTCCCTAACGACCCCGTATCGCGTACGCCGCAACGGCCGTAATCAACGCAAGTCAACATGGCCGACCGCGGCGTCCGTCCGTCAACCCGTCATGTGTATAATAATAATATCACGGAATATAACCGGAAGGGAAACTTTAACAGGGGGAAAAAAAAAATCAAACCGACTCAAACTCATTCTTGTCGAACACGCCTGATGAGTCGCCGCGGTCTAGGTTTCCCTTCCGGTTATTGTGTGGCGACAATAATAATATTGATAAACGACGGTTATCAACATTGTTTTTCTTTATCATTTATACACCTACAGGCTACTTGGACGATGCACGGTGGTCTGAAACGAAATCGTAGCTCGTCTAAACTATGATTTTCGAATAATTTATTTTGATCGTTTTTTTTTTATAGCAATATTTCATTAAGAGGACGGTACCCTGGCCATTGCTAAGGAGTAAAGTGTAGGCAGTTTTTTGAAAAATCTTAATTTAGAGTTTCAACTGTAGAGGTATACAGCTACGTCTTATTAATACAGTAATGAGGATTGACCTTATTGATTGCCATTTTTTTTTTTTTTGGTCAGACTATCACAGTCATGACTACAAGAAAAATTACAATTTTTTCCCCATAAAAACAGCGCACTCGCGCGGTAGCATTCGCTGAATACACACGTGTATTTACGCTCCGTCTCTTTCTTACGCTATAGTGGTTATACTAATCATATTATGTTTAATTGTGAAAATGTAACAGTTATGTCCCGCAGATTGTTTATTCACATTGTGTAAAATTGTACAAAAACAAAAACGTAAGTTAAAAAAAATAAAATTAAATATAAATATTATTCAAACAGTTTATAAAAGTAAAGCAGTGCCGTGTCAGTTTTCCACACGTCATTGTCTGCGGTGCTTATCTCGTTGGGCCGTCGCACGACGGCCACTTATCTAAATTACCGTCGCCGTCATGTCTAAAACTGCTAACAAAGTCGATAATCAAGTTAACCGTAATAATAACACTAATAATCAGCTCTCACCGATTGTGTTGAATAATACTGTCGATGGTTGGCAAAAGATTGCCAATAAAAGACATCATTCTACTTCTTCAAATTCAAATCCTGGTTCGCCTCGCCCAACCACTTCTAGTAAAAAAAGTATTAAACTATTTCACTCTACAAACCGCTATGAAATACTTAATGATGAAAATGATGTTGAAATCACACAAAATGAGGACCCCCCTGAGAATAATTCGGAACAACCAATCAAAATCCCTCCCCCTGTGTTCATAAAAGGTGTGGAAAACTTCACTGATCTATGTACGGTTCTTATTGAATTGATAGGAGTGGACAATTTCATATGTAAATCATCAGTAGATCGCCTTAAAATTCAAACAAAAAATCCAGAGTCGTATAGAACACTAGTCCGGTTTTTAAAAGAACAAAAAGCGGAATTTCACACCTTCCAGTTAAAAGAAGACAAGCCTTTACGCGTTGTGATCCGTAATTTACATCCTACTACTTCGGCGGAAACAATAAAAAATGAGCTCGAAATTCGACTTTTTGAGGTTAGGCAAGTAACCAACGTTCGATAAATCGAAAGAAATCTATGATTTATCCTCTTTATTACACACAAAAATTAAAGTTGAAGAACCGTACAAACCCAAAACGATAAGCCAATATATAAATTGTCAAGAGTATGGGCATACAAAAGCCTACTGTGGTTACCCGCCGAGATGCGTACGCTGTGGAGCCAACCATATGTCGTCTAACTGCTCAAAGCCTCGTGATCAACCTCCAAAATGCGCACTATGCTCAAGTAGCCACCCAGCCAATTACAAAGGTTGCTCAGTATACAGAGAAATTCAACAACGGAAAAAATCTACACATAAAAGTAACTTTTTATATGACAATCTTAATATTAAGAATTTTAATGTACAACAAGACAACCACTCATTAAAGGATTTCCCTAATATTAACCACACATCTCCAAAACAGACATATGCTCAAACGACTTCCAATAATACTAATAATCAAATTCCTTCACCTTCTTTAGATATAAATAAAGTCATGTCATCTTTCCTTGAAGACCTTAAGTCTCTAATTAATCCCCTTATAACTCTCCTAACAAAAGTTATCTCCAGTTTGCTCGATAAGAAAAATGACTAGTCATTCTTTTACAAACAATTCATTACTAATCCTCCAGTTTAATGCTAATGGCTTAAAAAACCACATTAATGAACTACAAACTGTCCTTCATACTAAACGCATAGACATTGCACTTATAACAGAAACTCATTTTACGGAACACTCAAATTTTTCCATCTCTGGTTATACATTATTAAAATGCAACCATCCAGACAATACTGCTCATGGAGGAGTAGCTATTTTTATTAAATCTTCTATTCCATTCCTACCTCTTCCTAATTACTCCCAAGACTATATACAATCCTGTTCCATATCCTTAAAACTTAAAAATACATCATATACTATTGCTGCATTATACTCTCCTCCCAAACATAAGGTCACGAACATGTTATTCAACGACTATTTTAACACTTTCAAAGATAATTTTATTGTCGGTGGCGACTTCAATGCCAAACGCCAAATTTGGGGCTGTCGCTCAAATAACCCCCGTGGTCTTGTTCTACATGATTTTGTATCATTAAAAAAATTAAATATTCTTGCTCCTCCTGGTCCAACATATTGGCCTTCGTCCCTTCGTAAAAATCCAGACATACTTGACATTTTTGTAGCAAAACTACCGAACAAGTTAAATTACACTATAGACAATATCCTCGAGCTCAACTCTGATCATTCATCAGTCTTACTTACCATTAATTCAACTCCTCAAACTCATCAAAGTCATCCCAAGTTATTTCAAGTAAACACAGATCGATATATGTTTCATAATCTAGTTAATCAGAAAATTAAACTAAGCACAAAACTTAAAACTACTGAGGACATAGATAAGGCTGTAAATAATCTCACTAATATCATTCAAATAGCTGCCTGGACGGCTACTGATGATATAACACTATCCCAAAACAAAACAATTGTTTTACCAGAGCAAATAAGAATATTAATATCTGACAAACGTAGAGCTAGATCTTTATTCCAACGCACTAGACTTCCGTCACATAAACATTTATATAATAAGTTAGCAAATAAACTTAAAAAAATGCTTGCTCAACACAAAACCAATTCCTATAAAAATTACTTATCTAACTTAACGGCTAAGGATGGTAGCCTATGGAGAGCTACCAAACAAGCTCTTAGATATAAAACAGCTAATCTCCCAATTAAAAAAAACTGACGGCAGTCTAGCTATCACTGACTTGGAAAAAGCAGAGTTATTCAAAGAACATCTAGCTGATACTTTTAAACCTCATCCGAATATACACTCACCTGAAACGACTAGTTCTGTAATGGCATACCTAGACGCACCATTACCACTATATCTTCCAGTCAAATGCTTCACACCAAATGATGTAAAATTCACAATTGCTAGATATCCTTCCAACAAATCCCCTGGTTTTGACCTAATAACGGCTGAGGTTGCAAAATGCCTTCCAAAAAAAGCTATTATCCACTTAACCCATATATTTAATGCAGTCATTAGACTTTCGTATTTCCCTCTATTATGGAAATTCTCGACTATTATATTAGTTCCTAAGCTCAACAAACCCCCTAATCTGCCAACATCCTTCTGACCAATCAGTCTTTTACCGTTCTTTGCAAAAATTTTTGAAAAATTATTAATTAAAAGAATACTTCCCTGTCTCTCTGTCAATGAAATACTGCCTAATTCCCAATTCGGTTTTAGAGCTTCTCACTCCACTATACATCAAGTCCATAGAGTAGTAGACGCAATATCGTACTCGCTCGAAAAAAAATTGTACTGCACAAGTGTGTTTCTTGATATTTCGCAGGCCTTTGATAGGGTATGGTATGACGGCCTCCTTTATAAATTAAAAAAAATTTTGCATCCCACTTATTACTTGTTTTTCAAATCTTACTTAACAGATCGTTTTTTCCAAATCCGTCATGGTTCTTCAGTATCTGATATAGCCTCTATAAAAGCGGGAGTTCCACAAGGAGGTATTCTATCTCCAGTCCTATTCAATATCTATACCTCAGACCAACCCACAACTCCTAACACAATTGTTGCAGATTATGCTGATAACAAAGCCATTTTGTCCTGTAACTCTGACCCACAGATTGCATCCGTCAATTTGCAAAATCATCTTCATTTAATGGAAGACTGGTATACAAAATGGCGTTTTAAAATTAATCAATCAAAATCAGTTCACACTACCTTTACTCTAAGACTTCTCCCTTGTCCTGGTGTCTCTATACGGAGTACAAATCCCCTCCTCTTCCTCTGTCAAGTATCTCGGTCTCACACTAGATAAACGACTCACATGGGCTCAGCACATTAAAATTAAACGTTTGTCTCTAAATAGCCGTCTGCGGTTACTCAAATCATTAATCGTAAGCAATAAATTTACAGATATTAATACAAAACTTCTTATTTATAAAACTCTTTTAAAACCCATATGGACTTACGGCCTTTAGCTATGGGGCAATGCTAAAAAATCCAATACCAATAAAATTCAATGCTTTCAAAATATTGCCTTAAGAAAATTAATAAATGCACCTCCTTATATCTCTAATTACACACTCCATAACGACCTTAACTTAAAAACAGTCCATGAAGAAGCTATCTCCTACTATAAAAGATTCCACATTAAACTACTCTCCCACTCTAATCCCCTTATAAAAAACCTCTCAACCTTGTCCATACCTGGAGACCCACCCAGACGTTTAAAACGTAAGTGGTGCCGTGATCTTCTATCTAATAATATCAATTAATATTAATACATAATTAATCAATGTAAATATAAGTTTAAAATAAAAAAATAAAAAAAATCATTGGAAGTGTCACTAATGAGTGGTTTCTTCAATCAAAAAGTATTCAATTTATATCTACTCTTATCATATATACTTATTGTGCCTATTGTACAGATTGTATATTTCTTTTGTAAAATAAAAAAAAAAAAAAAATTTTATTTTGTACATTGTCAATCTAGTAAAATAGAAGTA